TTTGGAAATCATAAATGAACCTCTTTAAATAATGGGAAAGGAATGTGGAGCACTTTACTCTTCTCATGTATATCTCTTGTTATTGATTTTTATATTGTTCATGCGTAAGATTGGATTGAAGGCATCAAGTAGGCTTGCTTAACCGGAGTATCTCGATTGAGCGCCGGTCGCGCTCCCTGAGGTCGGGGCATGACAAATTTTCTTCTCAGACAGGAGCACTTGCGCAAGGCTCCATAAGAGGTGAGGTGGAATATTTGTGAGGCATAGTGGAGGGTGAGGTGTAATCCTCACGAGGCTTGGTGGGGCGCAAGATCTTGGTTGCCCTGGGTCAAAAGAGGCAATGCACAGACGAGAAATCACCTCTAACCGGCTCAAAACTAACCAAATAATATTTAATAAGGTCAAATAACATCATAGGAATCAATTTCAAATAATAAAGGTTCAATCTTTAATCAATTCTTAAAAAATCAACAATAGTTAACCCGGGCCCACATGGTATAAACTCGAGTCTAGGGGTAGATCTCGGTTATGCATAACCCTATGGGTCTAAATATGTGTTTAGTTTTAAAATCAATGCCCAAATCAGTACTCAAAATATCAATTTACACTCTCTTAAGTTATAGACAAAAACTTCAAATTTCACTTTAAACTTTCATGTTTTAGGTGTAGAAATCCATGAAGATTTAAGATAAGTGATCAAATCAAAGTGTAAATTATGTTCCTCCAAGATAGTAGTGAAGTCCCTCTTCGAAATCTCCTCCTCTCCTTCTCCAAAACTCAAAAATATGAAAAATGGGCAAAATCCTAAAATTTGAACTTAAAATACCCCTGCCGGCACTACCCTTCGTGAATGTTGCCACAACCTCCCGTTCGCGAAGCACAACCCGCCACCACTAGAAATTCCCTCTTTCCAATCACGGACTTACACACGCAATCTCAAAGCTTTACCTGGCTCCTCGATGTGAACGCGATGCCCAACTACCTCAACCTTTTGTGAATGCGTCCCTACACCCGCGAATGCGAAACACAAAGCACCCAACTACTTCCTTCATTGCGATCACGAGACAAGCTCCATGATAGCGGAACACACTAGATACCAGCAACACCAGCAATCTCAAACATGCTTTGGGTGATCCGAAACTCACCCAATCCCCCCGTTACCCCATCCAATCATCCCAACAAGTTCACACACACTAACCGGACCTATCCAAGGTCTCAAAACACATGAAATCAACACATCGAAGAATCAAAGACCAAACCACATGTTGAACCCTCTCAAGTTCATAATCTTCTAAACTTCCAACCAAGCATCTGATTCATGCCTAAACATATCGGATCTCAACCAACTTTGCACTTAAGTTCCATTCAACAACACGAACCTATCCTCAGTCTCAGAACGATAATGGGAGCCCGATAACATCAAAGTCACCTATCAGTCAAACTTAAGAACTCTCCAATTCTTCAAATTGTCAATTTTCTACAAATAAAGCCAAATATCCTAGGAATATCTAAAACAAAATTCGGACACATGACCAAGTCAAAAATTATCGTACGAATCTATTGGAATCTTCAAATCATCAATCCTGGGTCATTTTCGTAAAAGTTAAACATTGATCAACTCTTCCAACTTCAAGTCTCAAACTAGGAACAAAGTATTCAGATCACTACTGAACACCATGAAAATCAAACCACCCATCCCCATAAGTCATATAAAATCAAATGAACCTACGAGAATCTTAAAATAGAGAAACATGGTTTAATACTCAAAATGTTTGATCAGGTCGTTACATTCTTCACCTCTTAAACAAACATTCATCCTCGAAAGAGTTTAGAAATGTACCTTAATTGCTGAAGAGATGAGGATGTTTGATTTGTATATCTTACTTGTCCCTCAAGTAGCCTCTTTTCTTGGTTGGCATCTCCAAAGAACCTTCACCGATAGGATCTCCTTAGACCTGAGCTTCTAAACCTACCTATCCAAAATGGCCACTGGCTCTTCTTCATAAGCCAGATTCTTGTCTAACTTCATTGTGATGGAATCCAAATCATGTGATTTGCTATTATTACACCTCTGAAGCATGGGAGCATGAAATACCGGATGTACTCCCAAAAGACTAGGAGGCATAGGAAGCTTATAAGAAACTTCACCCACTCTCGCCAACACTTCAAACAGGACAATAGTTCTTGGACTCAACTTTACCTTCTTCCCAAATCACATCACACCATTCATAGGTGAAACCATCAAAAGTACTTTTTTACCCTCCATGAAAGCCATATCACAAACCTTTCTTTTTGCATAACTCTTCTTCCTAGATTGAGTTGCTCGAAGCCACTCCTGAATCAACTTCACCTTCTCCAAAGAATCATGAACAAAATTCGTACCCAAAAGCCAAGCCTCACAAAGCTAAAACTAACCAATAGGAGATCGACACTACCTACCATACAAAGCCTCATACGGGGCCATCTGAATGCTGGACTGATAGTTGCTGTTGTAAGCAAACTCCGCCAATAGTGAGATCTGGTCCCAATGATCTCCAAATTCAATCACATAAGTTCGCAACATATCTTTTAGGATCTAAATAGTCCCCTTGGACTAACCATCCGTCTGTGGGTGGAAAGTTATGCTAAGCTCCGGTTGTGTGCCAAAGTCATGTTGAACAACTCTCTAAAAGTGGGATGTGAATGGAATACCACAGTTTGAAATAATAGAAATAGGCACACCATGCAACTGAAAAATCTATATGATCTAGATCTACCAACTTCTCTGCGCGGACTTGGTCAACCTATCCACAATTACCCAAATAGCGTCAAACTTCCTTAAAATCTGAGGCAAGCCTACCACGAAGTCCATAGTAATACGCTTCCTCTGGTCAAACCACCTGGTTTCTGATATACATATTTAACTTTCTGGCAATTCAAATACTGTGAAACATGCCCAACAATGTCCTTCTTCATCCTCCGCCACCAATAATGTTTGTTTAAATTATGATACATCATCGTAGTACCTGGATGGATATAATACTGCAAACTTTGAGTCTCCTGATGTATCAACTCCCTCAAGCCATTAACATTAGGAACACAAAGGTTACCCTTAATTATCATAACATCATCATTTTCAATAACCACCTTCTTAGCACCGTCTTGTTGTATCGTGTCCTTTAGCACCAACAAATGTGGATCATCATACTGGCGAACCTTGATGCCCTCCAACAAGGATGACTGAGCAACCACATAAGTGAAAACTCTACTAGGCTCAGAAATATCCAACCTCACAAATCTATTGGCCAATGCCTGAATATCCATAGCTAAAGGCGTCTCCTCATCCGGAATAAATACCAAACTACCCATTCTCTTTGCCTTTCTACTCAAGGCATCTGCCACCATATTCGCCTTACCCGAATGATACAAGATAATGATATCATAATCTTTAAGTAAATCAAGCTACCTCCGCTGCCTCAAATTTAAATCCTTTTGCTTGAAAAAATCTTGAAAACACCCATGATAATTGTAAACCTCACATGACATGCTATACAAGTAATGCCTCCAAATCTTCAGCTCATGCACAATAGCTACCAAATCCAAATCATGAACTGAATAACTCTTATCATGAGGCTTCAACTGTCGTGATGCATAAGCAATTACCCTACCCTCCTACATCAACACAACACCACGACCAACGTGTGAAGAATCATAATACACCATGTACGGGCCTAAATATGAGGGCAACACCAACACTGGGGCTGTAGTCAAAGTAGTCACTTGCTTCTAATAGCTCTCATCACACTCCTTGGACCTTTTGAATGGAATACCCTTTTGAGTCAACTTAGTCAAAGGGGCTTCAATGGATGAAAATCCTTTCCACAAAGTGACAATAGTAGCCTGCCAAACCCAAGAAACTCCTCATCTTTGTAGCTATAGTAAGTCTAGGCCAACTCTGAACCGTCTGAACTACCTCAATCTTCTCGTGGTCAACCTTAATAACATCACTAGACACAACATGACCCAAGAATGCAATGGAATCCAACTAGTACTCACAGTTCAAAAGCATAGAATAAAGCTTCCGATCTTTCAGACTGAAGTACTACTTGTTGTAACCTATTTTGCACAGGTCAAAATAGAACACAACTTGTGGTTCCTCTAAGGTTAATAAAAGAAGAGCTGCCGCCTAATATTTAAAGGCATACTAGGATATCTATAAGTGAGTAAAGATCAACATCTTAATGGTCTGCCAAACCAGCGAGAATCTGGGTAAGGGTTCTAATTATTCTAAGAAGAAGGTGTTAGGCATCCCTTAAAATCTACATTAAAGTAGCTCCTTAAACTAAGGCAAAATATAAGGAAGGAATTATTTATATCATAGTCTATCAATAGTTAAGGTTGCTAAGTGGGTCTATGTGAAGGTTTAATTAAAGGGATAAAGTGTTTAGTCTATTTGAAAGATACTTATTTTTAAAAATAAGTTTATAGTTTAGTAAGGAATGTTTAATTTTAAAACTATGTTGTAATGTGTTTTCAAAATAATAAAGGTTGTTTTATGGTGTGAAAGTTAAAAAAAAAAATGAGTTTTTACCAATATTCAAACTTTCGCTATAGAAAATGTGTAAAAACATATATCTTGGTTGTGTTTAAAGATTCATTTGGGCTGAGTCATTTGGCTTCCAAAACAACTTTTATCTTTGTGAAAACCGGATCCAAATTGTATTCTGCCATATCACCTTTCTTTCCAAAAATGTTTCAGTTTTCGAGTTTGCCTAAGTGATCGATGGAAGATTCTTTTAAAAGATTATTTAAGCTTATCTTGATTCAATTCTGCAAATGCTTCTGCCAAAATCATTAGAGGAAAACAAGTAGTAAAATAAAACATACTTGATAAAACAGTTGATACATAGTCAGGTTTTGAAGATTGTTAGCCTTATAAAGTGGAAAAACTATCTTAATTACGTCTACCCTTTCCCTACAGGATTAGCTTATACTAAGATCATTTTCTAAAACAATCATAGTAAAGATAAGAACATATAATAGCAGTGTTAGTTTCATAATATAATATATACATAAATGGGCTAACATCGGCATGATATAAAGTAAAGGGAGGGGAGGAACTAGACTCTTATAATGGACCGACAAGCATCAGGCCTATTTAAATCAATCAGCAACAGGCTTCAGCGATAGCAATGCAACGAGGAGAATGGCGGCCTAGTTTTGTTGAACTTGGGAAAGAGTTCACAGTGAACTTTACTAGCTCAACGTACTCATGCAAAAGAAGAAGGGAAATTTAATTAGCATTTGCACATAAAGGTAAAGGCAAAAATATAAGAAATAAACATAGTTGTAACAAATAAAGGCAGTCAAATTTTATTTATGATAATCCTCGAAAGATTAATTAAAGTCCATAGCCATTGACTAGAGTGGTCCATACCCCTCTCAGAAGGATTTCATTTGACCCTCCTGGCACTTTAGAGTTCACATGGTCTGAAGGGTCTAGGGTCTCGAGCAGTGCTTGTACCAGGGAAGGACCCTTGTGATGATGTTAGCTCCACTGCAAACACCAACAACTATTAGTATTTGTTCCTCTATAGAGGTTTGGTCAAAAATATGGTTGACTTAGGCCTAACAACAAACCGGTCAAGTGAACTCAAACATTTATCACTAGTAAGTTGTTTGGCAGAGAGAGTCCAAGATAGTGGCTCAAATCATATTATCATGATAACATTCGAAGAAATTCAATTAAGAAAAACACAGACAACTCATGGTGATATACTAGATCATGTCAATACAACATTACTTATGATTGAAGCACTAATTTAGGCAATATGACATAAACCAACAGAATGCTAGACATGATTCCGATTTCTATTCTGAGTAAACTAATAACTATTAAAGGCACATCATATAGAACAGTATATCATATATAGCCACGTGGACCTCAGGAATTCTTTAATGAATCCTAGAATCCAGAATCTGATCAACAACCATTCATACACAAATAATTTCTTCTTCAAAAACATGACTGAGCAATTGTGACTTTCACAAGTAATTCATCATATAACTTATCCCTATAGACATTCTTACTACACATGAATGTGAACACCAATCTAAGCCAATTTATCACACACTTAAACAGAATCATTATACAAAGGCTCCAGTTGGAGGTTTCTTCCTTAATCAGTAAATACATAACCAGGCTTTCATTCATTAAAGTCCAATAGTAGCCAGATATTCTGTTAAGGTCAAGACAAATGAATCAACATAACAACTCTCATTATATATACATGGTCTTCACATTTAGTGATCAACTCATTAGAAAAAGAACTAGAGACTAGGTGAATCTAGGTTCAAGCTAAGATAGTCACTCAAAATATCCAAACACATTGATCAGGAAGAATGACTCATGTTCAGGCTTCACAAGATGTTCAATAGTCAAAACTAAATGCGTGCAGGCTTAGAATTAATTTCACAAGAGTCATGCTAACAGAGAAGAATAAAAGATATCAAGCAGGATGAGATGATCACATTATCTTTAATTTTAAACAAGTAAAACCTTATGGGCATGGTATATATAACAATAAGGCAGTATCATGGTAATTGAGAGTGGCACTTGTAGTTAAAGCTAACAGAGAAACAAACAACTTAGATCAGCAGTAGTTCAAACTAACAAGCATGCATTGTTTAAAACTAGGATATCTAACATGCAAAACAGACAAAATCTACAACATGCTTTTACAACCAAACATAGCTGATGAAATAAACTGTTAACATGCAAGATTAGTTAATATACATTATTTCAATCAAACATGAGGTTCTTCAGACTCATTTAATATGCACACAATTCAGACATTGAAACAAAATAGAATGAAAACACATTGACCTTCCTTATGGCAGAAAACCAAGTTTTTAACTTTAGCCTTTAAGAATTTGTACTCGGAGGCGGCTCAGGAACAAATAAACTTGATTAGTAATGAATGAAAGTAAAGAAGAAAAGACCGTGAGTAAATCGATAGATATTTTAATACTCTTTATTCAAGTGCATTTACTCTATTGATTCGTGGTTGGCAAGGGCATTAAAGTCCGGTATTTATAGCCAAATAATTGAGGTTTTAGAGTTTGAGATTTTGAATTTTCTGATTCAAAAAATAGAAGACAAGAAACAATGACGAAACATTGACGATATACATAAAGAAACCAGAGGAACAAAAAATTAGAGGGAAACGGTGGAGATTTTTCCCTCTCAAATTGATGAAGAACTAGATGTTGAAGCCTTTTTGTCATCCGGATACAACTTTTACCTAGAGGTTCTTGTATTTGACCTCTAGATCCTCAGAGGTCATGCTGAGGTTGGAGATTCCTACGAATATGATTCTAATTGGAGGTGCATTCAAGGCTTTAATGGAGGATTCAAATGAGGGAATATGGTAAAGAAGGCCTGATAATTTCATTAGGGGATGTGATGATAAGATTCTAGACTTCCATTTTTGGGGCCAGGGTTTCAGAATTTGGGATATGAAGGGAGATGATAGAAAGAGGAATTGTTTTGGCAAAATTCTAGGCCATTGAGTGATGAATGAGGTCTCACAATAGTGTAAGAGTGACCTTGCACAAATTAGTGCTATATTTTCAGAGGCTTATAGAGGTGTGAGAGGACGAGAGAGATGAGAGAAAAGGAGTAAGGGCGACTGGTGTGATGGATAGAATGATTAGTGTTTAAGGGGGTTGTATACGTTTATAATAGAAGAATGCATGTTGGCTGTTAGATCAATTTGATCGACGGCTCAAGATTTTTTGGACTACAAATAAGAGAAAATATAATTTCGGGGAATTAAACGAGAGCCATTGGATTATTTTGATCCAACGGTTGAGATTAATACAGATGGAATTAATTTTTAGAAAGAAAAGCATGATTAATCTGGATCATTGATAAATGTGATTAACAGACCATGAGAGGTGTGTTTGTTTTGTGAGTGTTTTTGAGGTGCTGACATGGCGCATGTGATTGGTGGAGGAGGTGTGGCATGGATTGCGGGAAGGGATTGTTGAATTGGACTTGGACCTGGACATGTCAGGGGCACTATTTGGGCCAATTTTGTGGGCTTTTGATTGGAATGGCTGGAAATGGCATTAAAATTATAGCCACCATAATTTAATTTCAACAATTACAAGTATAGACTTATTGAATCTGTTACACCCTATGTTTTCGTATGTGAGAGTACGTCGTAAGTCAATTGATGTAAGTTCAGAAATGATATCATCTTTGAAAGTACATAAAGTAAGTTAATCATGTTATCTTGGAGGTTACAAATCTTTAAGATCGTGGATAACAAGTACCAAGAGGGTTGAAAGGCTTAGAAGCTAAACAAATTGAAGAAAATATGTTTCGTCGATTGTCGACAAGTTGAGAATATTATAACATGTGCTTTTGGGGTGATACTAGGGCTCTTAACATTACAAGGAGGTTATGTTATGAGTTATTTTAATCGTATGATAGACATGTATTATGTTTTGAAGTCAAGCAAGATGTAGAACAAAAGTTGGCAAAAGTCATCAAAAGTTACATTCGTAAATGTGCTGAAAACTAGGTCAAATGTAGCTGCGCTTTTCTCCCAATATACTTGGAATTACGGGATGATCCACCTACCAAATTGAATATCTTTAAGTCTATTTTCTAATACATTAAACCGTTTATCGATACGACATCCGAGTAGAGAGATATTTGCTTTTTGTGAGACCGTGCAAGCAACTCCCAATGGGACCCACTTAGGCGGTGGACGACCCTTGAACATTTTAAAGGGGTTGGACGGCTCATTTTTTTTTATCATTTTCGACCAAGTAAAGTTCCCAAACTCTCTCAACACTTCCATAACAGTTCTCCAAGGTTCCAAGTCAAATCCAAGGTGGTTTTACCTAAACCTAGCCTCAAAGGTTAGCCTAAGTGAAGAAGAGAGTCTCTATGGTGTTGTGATGTATTTAAGGGTGCTTGTAAGCTAAGAGAAGCTTTGGTTCGAGTTTGTTCTGATTATTTAAGGTATGTATAAGACCGTATTTCTTGGGCTTAAGCTTATCTATGTCTTTGTTAAGTTGTTTTGATGAAGAATTACAAGATAGAACTTGAAGTTGTATGAGAAGCTATTGTCTTTTATTGGACTGTTTTGGAGTTGTGTATATGACTTCATATGGCTGGAAATCATGGGGAATAGCTTGGTTATAATGTTCTCATACTTGTCAATATGTTGAGTATGTTTATGATGTTGTAAATAGGAGAAGAAGCAACCGCACAATACCTAGAAGTTGTCCATGTTATTATTATATCTTGTTGGGTTATTTGATGTTACTTTTATGATGGATAAAAGGTTGGAATGTCATGTCAATATATATTTTCATATTCTAGACCTATTGATTGTGTTGTAAGTACGAGGGATATGGGAAAAAGAGTTGGGGTTCGGTTCCAATCCAAGCTTGCCGCTAGTCGGGTTAAAATAGTAGTTTTATTGGTCACATTTATGCTCTTGTTGTTGTGTATATTGATTGGTGTTGTTGGGCTGTTGGGTGTGTTGCGGTGATGAAGGTATATATTTGAAGGTTGTATGTGTTCTTGTTATTTTAATGGACTTGGGAAAAATAAGGAAAACGTGGGAAATGTTGTCCGTTTTAATGTAAAATGAGCTTGTCATTCGTTGTACGATAGTTGCATCATTTGTAGCTTAATGATAGTATTATTATCGTTTTTGTAGATTAAAGTCCGATGAGGCGAGTTCAATGCGGTCATTGGATAGACTGTGATAAGGTATGTTAAGACTTTCCCTTCTTTCCCTTTGCCATGATCCATATGATACAACGAAACGAGTAAACACGCAACTTTCATACATGACTCTATTCTTAGAATGTAAGGCCCTGTAAAATTTTGCCAAGGAATTTAAGGTTTCATGGTGCCGAGGTAGGCATATGTGTTTGAGGACTGTAGAAAGTCTTCGTGGCTCGCAAGCTCACCTCGTTACGAACTTTTTGGGTTGAAGGAAGCACGAAGGAGTTGGTGGAAATATTTGGTAGAAGAAGGCAATTCAGCGGTCTATTTCACGACCGCAAAACTATTTTACGGGCCGCATAATCATCACGGAGTTGAGCAGGAAATTTGTTGAATTTTTAAGGTCGTTTTGCGACCCATTCTGCAATCGCATATCCATTTCGCGATCAACATTTTCTGTCGTAGATTTGGCATGAAGACATTTGTCGGGTCATTCTGTGGTCCATTCTGCGGCCGCATAAGTGGTCTGCGGACCGCAAGACCTGTTGCATACCAATCCAGACCAGCCCAATTTTTGGCATAATTTTCGCAGCCCATTTTTCGGGCCGCATATCTGTTATGCGGTCCATTATGCGATCATAAACCTGAGTTCGGAGGGTCAATTTTCCTATTTTATAACCATGTTTTGCCTTAAAATCGGACAACAATTAAACTTATAAGTGATTTTAAGTATATGTGATTTCACTTGGCACAAACTGATAAATGTCAGAATTAATGCTAGGGATTAATTGTAAATAAAGATAACCAATATGATGAACAACCACGGCCCTCGAGCTAGATTGCCCTCGAACCAGCTAAGTATGCTATTAAAAAGTATGGAATTTAACAACAGAGCTTGCAAGAGAAAATATGATATATTGCCTTATTGTGCGTGAATGTATATTTTTGACAACATGATTTAGACCCTCTTTATATAGCAGGTGAACCCTATTTATGGTATATTTCTAATTACAGAAGTAAATTCCATGATAGGCTAAATATCCGATCCTAACTCGATATATGCTGTGATTTCCGCCATGATCCTCGCCCGATCACGGATATCTCGGCTTTCCATTATTCGGCGTAGCAGGCTTCCTTCGATCTTGCTCTTTCTCGCTTCGGTCTCAAATTTACCTAGATCCTGATCGGCCAGTGATCCACGAGCTTACCAATCCATCTCCGTACCATGTTCAGATATAATTGGGGCCGGACCTTGATCTTCCGTCCCGATTTCGGTTAGTCGTATGAAATTCTAAGCCCGATTCTGACGTATATAGATAGTCCCCTCGTTTTATGGAGTGCAATGACAAGAAACGAATTGAGTCTTCGAATCTACCATCGATTTATCATATCATAAGCATTGCAACATAAGCGGCAGGGGTGACCGAAACGTCCCATCGGTTCAGTTTCCCAGGCATTTATGGCACGTCAGTTGTCGGTCGGCCACTAGCAACTTTGAACCATCGTCATGGAACCCATAGATAGAACTTTTTTCAACTCCTTCAAATTTTACTTTCAATCTCTTCTGCTCTAATCTTCAAAGCACCTTGCATTCCTCAAGTTCCTCATTTGCAAATCTTCAAGTTTTATTCCTAACCTCTTTTTAAAACACCAAATATCCTAATCCCTGTTCTTCCATGTTCATAAAAATGGCCAACACCTCTAAAACTGTCCCTTATAAGGAAATTGCCTCTTCATCAAAGTCCGCCGGCATCACGGCTGCAGCGGAACATCCCCTTTAGGACTTCGTTCCGACGAAGTGTGCTACTGCTGCTGATTTCAAGGTGCAGAACACACCCCTGATTCCAGGTTGATGTGAGCCGATGTCGAGGTACGTGTGTACGATTACGGAAGGTTTCCTCGAGAAGGTGAAGGATGAGTGCAACTAGGTAGGAAAGGATGTAGTAATTCCTGCCCCTAAGGAATCCATCACAACTCACGTGGAGGGGTATCTATGTTTCTACACTTACCCCTTCACGATAGCTCCCTTAGATCCCATTATCGTTGCCTTCTGCAAGAGGTACGATGTCACTCTAGGACAAATCCATCCGTCGTTCTGGAGGATCATAATCCTTTTCGATTCTTTGCAAGCAAGATCGAGGGCTATCCTTTTACCCTCGATCACCGTATGCTCCTTTACGGTCCCCGGCTTTATCTTGGAGGCATGATTAAGCTTCACCACCGAGCCACCAAACCCCCGTTCTTGAGCATAGATAAGACCCGCGACCGAGGTTGGATGGGTAGATTTGTTCAAAAAAAGACTTCGGATTTAATCCCTTCCAAAGACATGTTGTTCCCCGAAAAGTGGAACATGAAACGTAAGTACCGTTTTGCTTTTGATTATTCATATCTCCGTTTTGTTTCTTGCCTTTCCCTTATCTATGTTTTTTTGTGTTGTAGCTATGGCCGTTGTGCCAGGAGTGATCCCCGACCTGAGGCAATGGGTCGAGGGGTTAGTATCACAAAAATCTTACTCTGAGCATGCCTGTATAGAGTTATCAAAGGTCCAATGGGAGGCCCATAACCATAGTAATCTTCTTTCCTTAGAAAGGATTCTATTCGGGTTTTGTTATTGTATTAACATATATTTATCATTCTGCAGGTCTCGGGAAGGATGCGCCCATGAGGGCCCCCTCTACTGATGAAGAGGCACTTCTCCCCCCATCCGCCCCGAAGCAGAGCAAAGAGAATAAGAGAAAAGAGGCTCCGAGTCCTCCAGGCTCGGAAAAGAAAACGCTGGTCAAGAGGCCCCGTAAGCCTAAGAGGAATGTCATCCACGTATCCCTGGAGTCCGCCCAACGGATAAGGGATGGGACCGAAGATGAATACGAAGAAGAAGAAAACTCTGAATTGATGACTCGTATGCGAGCTGGCACCGAGCTTTAAAGAACTATTCGACAGGCGGGAGCTG